CCATTGCAACCATGCAACCATTGCACCCACTGCGCCCAATGCACCTACTGCAACCACTGCACCCATTGCAACCACTGCAACCACTGCACCCATTGCAACCACTGCAACCACTGCAACCACTGCAACCACTGCAACCATTGCACCCATTGCACCACTGCAACCACTGCACCCATGCAACCACTGCAACCACTGCAACCATTGCAACCACTGCAACCACTGCAACCATTGCAACCACTGCACCCATTGCAACCACTGCAACCACTGCAACCATTGCAACCATTGCAACCACTGCACCCATTGCACCCACTGCACCCACTGCACCCATTCTGCACCCATTGCACCCACTGCACCCATTGCAACCACTGCAACCATTGCAACCACTGCAACCATTGCACCCACTGCACCCACTGCGCCCAATGCACCTACTGCACCCACTGCACCCATTGCAACCGACGCAACCAATGCACCCACTGGAACCGTCACGGCTATTTTGGCAGGATTACGGTTGGAATCACTTCCGCCTTTGAGAAACGAAAATCGTGTAGGGAAAACCCTTTCACCTAACAGCCAATCACAGTGCGTCTTCCGAGTACTGCGAGATTACCCGATTGATTGTTTGTCATTGTTATAAACAAAAATTTAAATTTCGCCTACTGCATTGCTTTAGCACTTTATATACACCGATTGTTTGTTGAACATGCGAGAAGATGATAACAATATTATTCTACGTAAACATCGTGAAGTTCAACGCTATAGTTTCCAAAATATATCCACGCAAGTAAACAAATTTTAAGTTTCAACCCAAGCAGTATATTCCAATGCATGTGCAAGGGCTTTTCCCAGTAGCTAATCTCTCAATATATAAGGCGGCTTCCAATTGGCTCTAATGTTTTTGAACACTGCCAGATGATTGGCTCGGCTAAAACAAAGGGAATTGAATATGCAGCTCGGGTAAGCAGACGGTAGTATTTCGTCGCTTGGCGTAAGAACTACAACGTCTGTGAGCAGGCTATCTTTGAACCGCCACTGCAGATGTTATTTTCGGACTTTCAAAGTACTGGATTTTTTATTTCTCACGGATTTTTTCTTGGAATTTTAAAAGACATTCCGAATTTTTTTTGATTTTCCGGATTTTTTGTAGATTTCTCCCGGATTTTTTCCACATATTTAAAGATTTGAATGGATTTTCCAAATTGTACCGGATTTTTTCGGGATATTTAGGGGATTTGCCAAGTGTACGAGATTTTTTAGTGCAATACTAAGGTGGATTTCGAAGAACTATAGAATCTTACCGGATCTCCATTCTTTCCAACTTTACCAAGTTTCCCTCGTCGTCCAGGTTCACCCTAAAGTAAAATATTTCGTTAACTGTTAAGGCTCTTTTCCACTCATCGCAAAACCAACTCGCAAGCCCGCTGCAAGTGCTTGTATGTAATTAACATAAACTGTCAAGCATTGTGATTGGATGAAAGTACTTGCAGTGAATACTTTGCGCGTTGGTTTTTGTGATGAGTAGGAAAAGAAGCCTAAATAAATCCTTATCCATTTTTTACTTCTGTAACGGGATGAAAGTTGGTATAATTTAACTGTTTATGATTCACTGGAGTGTTATCAAAGTATAGATTACAGTATAACTCCATCAGTAAGTTCCTTGAGTTGTTTTGCGATCAAAGCATTAATGCAGCTGGTTGGAAATTTGCAGAGTGTTGATATATACTGTAGGTCCAAGGGCAAACTACAAAACGTGGCGGGTCGTATATACCTTTGTGCCATCTATTCCAGGTAGTCCAACTTGTCCTTTTGGCCCGCGATCTCCCTATATTTTTCCAAGAAAAATTAATATTATTCCATTGTTGCAATGCTCCCAAATGCACCCTTCTTTATTGTTTGACTCTGTCTAACGCAAGATGATTAAATATTCGTCTGCAAGGGCATGCAGAGTCTTGTAGATTAATGGCTTAAGAGTCTTAAAATAATAAAAACTTGAACAGATTAATTTATTAGAAGACCTCTACGCATAAAAGTGTACATGATTCAGTATTCAGGTCTTAGAGTCACCTGGGAATATTACGTGCGCTAAGAAACCACGTGATTTTGAGTGGCAAAAAGAATGGACAGCAGAGAAAACCATTGTTTGAATTCGCCAGAAAATTGCCGCTCTGAAATCAGCATCTCTACCGATTTTGACGGCTGATTGACTCCATCTATTTTTTGTTTAGGTTTAAATATTTGCCACCCAAAATGGCGGGAATCAAACGTTGATGATATGTTGTGACGTAACATGCAAGGGCTGAATAACACCTATACTGACACAGATATTTCGCAATTTCTTTCCTACCTCTCTACCTCGTCCACCATCGTCTCCTTGTATTCCGAGAGCTCCTTTTGGACCCTGAAAGAAAATAAGAACTATTTTACAAGAAATAAATGTTAAACGAAAACTTCAGGATCCTCTCAGAACCTGATAATAATCCTTTACATGCAATTATTTCCTAGTTATATGGGATTATTATAAGAAATTCTTATCAGTACTGCAGAATGTGTTTATCACTGTACCTCCAAATAATAAGTGATACAATTAAATGACTATATTGGTAACGTTATTGGTACAGTCTAAGCTGTTGTTGAAGATGTGGTTAAGGCTTGACAACTGGACTCTGTAGCTCAGTTGGTTGGAGCGCTGCACCGGAATTGCAGGAGAGCAGGTTCAACTCCTGCCAGAGGGCCATGCAATAGTTGCATTTATCGCATCTGCGCCTGGTTAGGTTTAAAAGTGTATAAATTTACACTTGAAAATTCCATTTATAAAAACCTTCAACATTTAATTCTATTGGTTGCGATGACCCAAGCCCTGATATCTAAGCTATTGTCCTTAGCCTTAGGGATGAGCTAAGCGCTATCCCATATTTGTCCAGTATTTTTCTAGGAGCATTCCTATTCTCGTTTTTAAATGAGAGACCGAATGTAGTTCAGTCGATTGTAACATCAATTGCAAAAGTCGTCAAAGTTTTATTGATCATGATACCTATTCACAACCATAAGTACTTACTGGTCCTCCTCTTCCTCCACGTGATCCAGTACCGCCTGGTCTACCAGGAAAGCCCTAAACAAGTTTTTCAGATTTATATGTACTATTTAAAGCACGCGTAGGAGTGTTTTATATGTGATAAAACACGACTACAAGTGCTTTAAATGGCTTAAAAAACGACTCATCTTATACGAGTTCATTGGCGAAGTAATTTTTAAAATAAACTGTGTCTTTTATCACATATAAAACCACGACACGCTTATGATTTTTCTTTGTGTTTTGTTCCTGAATTATTAATGAGTTTTTTAAATATATATATATATATATATATATATATATATATATATATATATATATATATATATATATATATATATATATATATATATATATATATATATATATATATATATATATATATATATATAGTGACAACATGAAGATAGCTTCCTGAGGATCCCTTCAAGGCTGGTTTCCACAGTGGTATATACTATATAGTCCTGAAAATTATAACAATTGGGGCTCTTCAAAGTTGGCCTACTGTCTATACGGGCATGAACCGCCAGAACATGTTCGATTCTTGGGTTTCTGAGACACGATTAACGATTTCCTTCATTTTAATGTATAGTTTATATTAAAATGTATAGTTTTCTCATATTAAGACAAGAAAATATAATATATCACTGCAGTGAATATAAGAATCATTAGCATCAACTGCTGGAGTGACCCTCAAATTATCGAATAGAAATAAATTGGAATAACTGTACTTTAAAATTTAAATGCGCCAAACCTTATTAAATAAGCAAAAAATTTGTTATATTACGAAAGATTATTTCAGTCACGGGGTAGGGCAAAGCCTCCTAAACTGACAGGGAATTTTAACAAAGGGGTTTAAGTTCAGGTTTACACAAAAGTTCCTCTGATTATGATGGCGTAAACAGAACTGAACTCCGAATAGGCAATTCCAGCTTTTAGTTTATGTGTGCAGGGGATGATGGGAAGTAAGGTATCATATTGCTGATTATGCTGAAAAAATAAAAATGAGGGCCGTGTAAACACGGAGTGATAGCTTATACTTGTAAATATTGAAATATTTCGGTTGTTTCGGTAGCTTTTATTGAAGTTTTTCAGCATAATCAGCAATATGATACCTTACTTCCCATCATCCCCTGCAGGCATAAACTAAAAGCTGGAATTGCCTATTAGAAATTAAAGATGTTTTTAATTAAAAGTGTCTTTGAAAGAGATTTGCACTGCCATACATGCTATCTGACCATACAGTCACGCTTCTTTTCCCCGGCCCTTTCTGGAGAACCATGCCCCTTTACCTGAACCTATATATGTAAAGGGCAATCTCGAACCCTGAGCCCGCAATCCTCTGTGGAGGCTTCCACAGAGGATTGCGGGCTCAGTGTTCGAGATTGATTTAGAGGGCTGACTTTAAAGGTTCGAAACCGTGATAGTGTTAATGCTTATATACAACTAATTGATATTACTGTAAATCAGTCTAGATATAACCAAATGCATCTGGTTACCGTAAGTGTACTTTTTATCCAACACGGCAACACCGTATTACGTTATAACGTCATATAACGACATACTTTAGCAGTTATTTCATTGGAGCGAGACTCACTTTATCTCCAACAGCGCCTTGACTTCCTTTCAAACCAGGTGGACCCTAATACCAATTTAAATAAATGTATAAAATAATAAATATATAAAATATTATTTTCGAAAAATAAACAAAAATGAATGTGTGACTTCTAGGATAGAAACTATTCGTTATTAAATAAAGATAAAGACGCATTTTAGAACATTTTATACTGAATAGGATCACGCAAAAGATGTTAAAGCAAGATCTCAATACTAACTGGTCTTCCTGCTGTTCCTGGGATACCTGCGCTGCCTTGCGGACCCTAGAATATTAAAATCAAGATTTTATGTTAATGTCGCTCGTCAAATGTATTTAAAGTTGATATACAGTACAGGGTGTCTAAAAAAGGCGACCACTCAGAAATTACCCTTTTGTTGTAAACACCCAAACTACACCCAAACTTCATATTTTGAACGATACCAAAAACATAACTGGCCATGCATAAAATTCGATTCGATTGTGTTTATGCACCCAAGGGTTCAGTATAGGACTCCAGGCCTTAAAATATCGGTCGGTCACGGACATTGTCCGACCCATTCGAGAAATTGTCCGACGTAGAGAGGAAGCCACCGGACATTCTGTCCGACATAAGTGAAACTGAGGCTTACTGTTTGTCCGACCCGAGTGAATTGGTGTCCGACCCGAGTGAATTGGTGTCCGACCGAACTGTAGCTTAATTGTCCAATGTAAATCAATCAGCAGTAAGGCTCGTATGTTAAATGGAAAATCAGAGGACTAATTGAGTATTGTACAAAAAGTGAACTGGAAATGTTGTTTTAACGTAGCTAATCGAGCGCGGGGCGGCGACGTGCGAGCGAAATGGTGAAGTGGAAAACAGGCTTAAGTTGTCGAAGTCTTACTGCTGTTCTTGCAAGCAAGTTAATTTTGGCTGACACAAATTATTTAATGAATGACACAAATTATTTAATATCTTGAACTGAAGGTCATCGGACATATGTCCGATCGAAACTCAACATCATCGGACATTTTGTCAGACGGCCCTGTAAAAGATATTTTAAGGCCTGGGACTCAGGCACTCTTTTATACCCCCTGTATATGGCGATCTAGATGCAAATGCCTGCAAGCTGGCGATCTAGATGCAAATGCCTGCACACATTTTGCTAACGCTACGCGGTGAATCCGGTAACTGGACCATCGTTCTATATTCCCTTGTGAACGAGGAACAATACACAAAAACGGATTAGTGTGAGCGTAGCCAAACTTTGTCTACGCAACTTTCCCTAGGCATTTCCCTAGAGCATAAAACTTCGTGGCTGAAATACCTGATTGTGATTGATGATTAATTAAAAGACCCAACGGGCGAAGACTGTACGTTCGTTCGTAGGTAAATTGAAAGAAAGCTTTTAATGAAACTTGCGGATGTTACCTTATCGCCGATCAAGCCATCTTCACCCAAACGTCCGGAAAAGCCAAAAGAACCCTGCTCAAGAAAAAGTTTTTAAAGTTCTCGTAATTGCTACTAACGATAAGCCACAGGAAAATATAACTATGCATTGTTATAAATATATTGTATGTAAATCAAGGTTTTTCGTTATGTGTATAACACAAAGTTAATTGTTGAATTTATTTATTCACTTAAATACAAACATTCGTTGTTATACTTTGTATGACAACTACGTTTGTGCCTGTTGGCAATCTTCAGAAAACCAATTTTTACGTTTTCGTTGATTCATTGTTAGAATAGCTAGAAACTTTAATTTTATAAATCTGCCTGCAGACATGAAACTCTGAGTAATCAGGCATATTTTATAGTTTAATTTAATAAGTAGCTTAGTTTTTGAAGTAAATAATTTACATGCAAAGCAGTTACAAACACTTTTGGTTACGGCAGAAGAAAAGAGAACTTGTACTTTGCATATGAATCGACTGATTTCTATGAGGTTCACAAGAGTCTATTTATATATTACCTATAATCGTTTAAATTTGATTGGTTATTTGGTTTCAAAGATCATTATTGTTCATGAATTTTACAAGAAATGCTTAAAATATTCACGGCTGTGTTTAATACTCAGGTTCAGATTCTGACTTTCACTACAGCTACCGCTACCAAATTAACCAATCAGATGCATTTATTCCATTCGATTAACCAATCAAATGCGTATTAAGCCTGTGAGAGGTAGTGGTAGTGGGAGTCAAATCTGAACTCTCTATTCAATACAAGTGGCATATTGGCAATTATAAACATAACAGAATGAATATACAAACCGGTGTTCCTGCTCTTCCCGCGTCTCCTGACTCTCCTGGAAAACCATTTGGACCCTAAAAAGTATAAAAAGAAGGTTGGAAATTTAAAGATCTGCTAAAACAAGAACGAAATTTGGTACAGGGGGAAATGTTCTGTTAACTCTCACTTCTCAAGAGAAAGGGTTACGGTAAGTATATAAATTATGTTGAAAACGAGGCAGCTCAATGGAGCGTTAATATACTGGGGGTCGTAAACTTCAATACACCCTTCCGATTATTGCGTCACAAATCTCTCCTTGGCTTGGGAGCCTCATTCTCACGAATCGCGAATTTGCCTTTCGTCTTCATTCTAAAGAGTGAACGCACAGACCAAGGCAGTCATCGGGATGTAATTATCGAAGCGTTGTATTGAAATGGGTATATTACCGCAAAGAAGCTAAACTTAAAGAAATAAACAAAATTTGCTTCCTTTCTTTCCCCCGAGTACAATCATTATTACATTATTTTAATATTTAACATTATTACATTGTTTTAATTCAGCGATGTAATGGACACTTCCCGAATTTGCTGGCAATGAACACTACTGATTTACAATGGATTACATTGTCCCCTTCGATTTCACGAATTGAGGAACAATTCTCATCGACGTTGATCAAGATCTACCTAGGTTCACCTAGAGAATTTAACGTTACAGATCAACAGAAAACTATTCCGTTTTATGAGTTATATACGACATACCGGCGGAGCAGCAACTCCCGGTTGACCAGGAAATCCAGGTGGACCAGGAAATCCCTAGACATAGAATCACAGAATTAACAATCGAAAGTTACCATCTAAAAGTCATCTTTAAAGGTATAGAATCTCATACTGATCGTGAATTTTGTATCAAATGACAAATGATTCTCAAATAATAGTTACATTGCTTATGTGCTCCCCCTGATCAACGTAAGATTGCCTCTTGACTTTTGGCAGAGGAATGAAGCAACATAATGTGGAGCCTATTAGTGTTGTACCTTTCATTTGAACTGACCAACGATGACAAGCTGTTATGTTATTGTAGTTTGAAGCGCACGTATAACAATCAAATTAGCATTATTGCATGGATTCTCTGTTTTACCAAAGATCATTTTACCTTTCCTCCGATCGTCCCTCGTGGCCCAGCTTCGCCTTCTTGGCCAGGCCTGCCCTGAAATAATAAAAGTAACATCAGGAAAATAAGAAATATAGTTTATTTAGAAACTGCTGGTTACTATTGACCGATTCGAAAACTAGCCGCCCGAATTTTACATTATTGTATATTTTATGCATTACCAGGCTAATAAACAACTTTGTATTACATTTATATTTTATAAAACTGTTAGTCTTGAAATATTCTATAAGGCAGCAATGATTACCTTGGTGGTTGAAGTTAATTTTAGGAGAAAAAGAGAATTAATTATTTATTGACAATCCTAGTTACTCGCTTCAATTTTCAAACATAGCCTATTGAAGGGGAGATGGCTGTGAAACTTATTAGAATAACAATATAACTCATTATCTATGTTGGTCAACGTTTATTCATAAATCTGGTCCTTCACCGTCACGTGTGTATTGTATTTTTACCCAACTAACCAATGGCAATGTTTTAGGAAAGTCACCTATCCGTGACTCGAACAATAAGAAAACTGGAAATTGCTATTGGTGGATTTGGTAAAAATACAATACACACGTGACGGTGAAAGGACCAGATTTATGAATAAACGTTGACTAACATAGATAATGAGTTATATTGTTATTCTAATGAGTTTCACAGCCATCTTCCCTTAGACAGGCTATGCTTCAAAATAATCAAAGTTCAATAGGATAAAGAACATGAATTCGAATTTTCAGTGCAAGTTTACTTTTTAAATTATTTTTTCAGGCCATTCTAAATTTCAAATCCTTTCTTTGCTGTATCGTGTTTCGCATATTTCATATTTTGTGATGGATATTTAGTTATGAGTTTAACAAAAACACTAGGAAAGTGTTAGCTAACCTGTAAACCAGGCGGACCTCGCTGACCAGGAACTCCACTCAGACCAGGATCGCCCTGGACAAAAATAATTATAATGTATAACAATTTTCTATACTAAAGAAGTTTAGAAAATAATAAATCGTGACTAAAATATTAACTATATTACGTTATCAAATAAACAGCAATGATAAATTCTATGCATAACAACTTACAGACGTTCCATGTGAACCATAATAACCATCAGTTCCAGGACGGCCCTAAAATCCAAATGAGGATTATATACACCTTTAAAAAATTGGCTTAAAACGATTGGGTATTCCAAGTAAAGACAACGTAAAAGGTCTTCGAAAATGAAAGTAAAGGTGAATGTGAAAGGTAGAGTTGAAATTAAAAAATGAATGTAATGAAAAAGGACGTAGGTGGAGGTAAAATTGCCCGAAGTGTTCCACACTTACTGACTAAATTTCGTGTTCATATTTGTATATTTTTATACAGTTTAAAAAAATCTTTTATGCAGGACCCCACTGAAAAACACGTATGTGATGCAGGTATTCTGGATAATTATAATTATTATTAAAAGGATGAGGAAAAAGGTGGAGGTGAAGGTGAATGTGAAAATAGAGGTAAAACGTAAGGTCGACGTAAAAGGTGATGGGAAAGGTGGACGTAAAAGGTGGAAGGTAAAAGTAGAAGGAGAAGATGGAAATAAAGGTGAATGTGAAAGTGAAAAGATGATGTTGAATGTAAAGATGAAGGTAAATGTGAGGGTGGAGTACAAGGTAGAGGTGAAGATGAATATAAAGAGGGAGGTAAAATGTGGAAGTGAAGGTAAAAAGTGGAGGGGAAGTTGGTTGAAGTGGAAATAGAGGTGTAGACAAGCGAAGTTGAAGGTGGAGATGAAACATGGAGGAGAAGGTAAAGATGAAAATTAAAGGTGGATATGAAGGATTTGGGTGGGGGTGATATAGGGATAATAGTGATGAAGATATATTAAAGAAAATGCTACTTAAAACATCATAATATTAATACCGGTGATCCAGCTAATCCGGGAAAACCAATCAGACCGCGATCTCCCGGAAATCCCTGAAAACAAATTGAGTATACTGTTTATTATAGATTTAGAATATTTCATTATGCATATGGACATATAGAAAATAAGTCGTGTCGTAGGAGGGAGACAAATGTCATGGTTTAAAATGAAAATCATCCTATTTTACCTTTTGTCCTGATATTCCACGAGTTCCGGATAGGCCAGAGTCGCCCTAATTAACAGAAATTACGAACATTATAAATTTTACAAACATTAGCAATATCACAGAAATACGTTCAAGATAAAGTCAAGTTATTAATCATAGAATTCTTTACATAGATTTACAGTTTCTAAAATTAATGTTAGGGCCTTTAGAACGACCGCAAGGAAAATAATCTCTCTAGAACTTACCCTTTCCCCCTTTTCCCCACGCTCTCCTGGACGTCCAACATATCCTGGACGTGTCTACAAAATAATTGTTTACAATAAAGTATATGTCTGAATGCAGGAACGTTTCTATAATTGGTGATCTACATGAACTATCTAGTATCTATGTAGAGTATGTATTTATAAGAAGTATAAAAGCCTTTACAGTAAATTTTCCCCACATATGTTAATAGCAAATGAATCAGGTTGTTGCACTTGCATGGGGATAGATGAGCGAAAAATACGTACATATAGCGCATTCACATAACCCGAATATGACATAACGCATGCACATAACCCCAAATGATTTTAAAACAAAATAAGTTTGGCGTATGATTTAGCTTGGTACATTCTTATCGTTGTAATCACCTTTTAGTATCTACATAGTACATATTGTTAGAACCTTTGTAATTTAACCTTTTAGGTTATAAAAGAGTGTTCAAGTTATTAAATTAAAAAAAAAATTAAAAAAATTCACACATGTCAAATCGTCCAGTCGCCGTTTCATGTTGTGATGGAACGCAAGTGTTAAAACGACTCAGAAAGTGTCATTTAAATACGTAGTTGTTTCTTAATTTGTTAAAATGTGGGGTTTGAGTTTAGCATAACTATTATACTTCTTTTGCTGGTTGCAATTTTCGTTTGGAAAACCAGTGTGTTTAAAAAGAAGTAAGATATTCAACTAACAATATGACCAGGTGGTCCAGGTCGACCATCAGGTCCCAGTTCTCCTTTTGGTCCCTGAAAACAAACAAACGGCAAAAAGTTTAGTTCTTTAGACGCTGTCCTGTAGATAAGATGTGAACTCGTAAAAGGAGTTTCTCCATTGTGTATTTGAAATTTGTGACAACACAGTTTGTTCCTAGAGTATGAAAAAAATAAGTTACCTACTGGTGGTCCGTCCAATCCTCTTCCACCAGCAGTTCCAGCCTGACCTACGGCTCCCTGAGAAAGATAAAACAAGTGCTTAAAGATGTAACAGTAATTTGGTTACAGCTTCTCTAAATGTTGAATAAAATAAGTAAGAACATGCATGGTACCATCATGAATAAAAATATAGATTTTTAAAAACTATTATAAACAGTTATAAACAATTAGTTGACCGAATGTCGCGAAGCTTCAGAAAACGTAACAAAAAACATAATTTGCATGCTACCCCCGGATTGTTTATTCCATCCATCCATTCATTGATCAATATTATATATATATATATATATATATATATATATATATATATATATATATATATATATATATATATATATATATATATATATATATATATATATATAATATATATATATATATATATATAAAGCAACTTTGCACTAACAACAGTGTTGGAACAACGAAAAACGTGCAAACAGGCTTCTACAGTACATAGCCTTTTCGTGATTCAACATGAATACGAAAGAATTTAATACATTGAGAACAAAAAATAAATAACCCACCATTCTTCCTTCCGAACCAGGAAGTGCATCTACGCCAGCGACCCCTTTCTCACCCTATCATAAAACAGATTTGAGCAGATTTTTTTAATTGTTATTTTCTAACCTGTTTGCGTGTTACAGTATTTCTACTTTTGTTGATTTATTTTCTATATGTATACTTTAGTTATTATTTCATTTTACTGTGGAAAGCGCAAAGAGCAGAGTAAAAACATGATTTTTATTGGCGTTTCGTAGCAATAAAATAATAGTTTAACGTCACTGGAAGTCATACTAAGTTATTATACTAAGTAATATCAAAATCTAAGTGCATCTTATAGGGTTGGATTCTTCAAATGGACAACATGAAATCGTTTGAAAAATTTTCAAAAATATATAGAATATGCAATACAAAATACACATACAGGAGGCAGTTCATTGTCCCTCCCACTCCAATACACTGATGCAAAGCCTTTTTAACCTATGAATTTTTATCTTACCATCAATCCACGGTCACCCTGAGGCCCATTAGCACCATCGGTCCCTGGATCACCCTGCGAAAATGAAAATCATCATGGTTTCATGTATGATGATTTGCAGATAACCTGTCGACACAGTTCAACGTGTCTCAACAAACTAAAGCTAAACATAACTAAAATTCACACACCGTTTCACCGTTTTCTGCGTTTTGTCCAACGTCTCCGTTTGCACCCTATGAAAAATGCAGCATAAATAAATTTAAACAATAACAATAATAAAGATATTCTTCATGATTTTCAACTCGTGTAATTATGATTTCGTGATATCCTGCAGCATTAAAACAGAGAGAGAGTTTGACGACTAGTCCCCTTTTTTATGTTTTCCTACGTCATATTTAAATCCCATATACTGACAGAAGTCTCAGTCCCCTCTTTACGTGAAAATGTAACAAACGTGCATTCCTGAACAAATCTTTTTTCCCTATAAATATAATATTTTTGGAAAGAAACCTTATTAATTGTGCACTTACACTTTCTCCCCTTTGACCTGCGAAACCAGGATTTCCTTTGATTCCAGGATCACCCTAGCAAACAACATCACTGTGTTACCATACTGTACATGCAAGCATTTGATAAGCTTCTCAAAATATAGCCCCTGATCCATGCATTGACAAACATGGCAAAATAATTACCAGTTCTCCAGGTTTTCCAGGTGGACCGTCTTGACCACGTTTACCATTACTACCACTCTTCCCCTTGATACCCTCACCACCAACATCTCCAATTGCACCAGGTTCTCCAACAGTCCCGTAAAATCCAAAGCCTCCTTGAAATCCTGGATGGCCTGGGATTCCTCTGAAACCAATGGGACCAGGAGGACCCAGCTCACCCTGCAAGATAATTACAGATAAGGTTATTAGGCACTCAACAGTAGGTAAAACCTATATAGTCTGCATGAAATTACCAGGGGAGATATTTTGGTTATCTCACCGATCCTGCACTCTGGCCATCGGCTGCGGAGACTAGTAAAACCAGTTCACTAAAACACATTGCGTGCTAACAGATCTAGCATGAGAACTTTAGCGTTTCGTCGTGTATTCGTAGACAAGTGCATCTTCTGCCATACGATCAGGAATGGAATGATAATTAACGATTACATGCGTTTCGCTAATATAGAAAGTACCGATCAAAAAAGTTTAATCAAGGTTTATCGACAACTCAATTTCATCACGTACGCAATTGTTGAAAATATAAATTGTCAAACAACAAACGAGGTTTCAAAGTCACATAGTACCTGTTTTCCTATTATTCCACGTTGCCCGTCGTCTCCTTGTCCTCCAATGAATCCCTTAAACCCTGCTTCTCCATCAGTTCCAGGTTCTCCCCTAGCTCCCTAGGGAAAACAAAATATTGAAGATTGAAGTTAAACTAAACGTTAACTATAACTTAACTTTATTTCTACTGAATTACTTTATCAGATCTAAATTGTTCTTCCCAGAGCTCCAGTAACCTGCGGTGTTTAACTGGAAGCACTCTTTTCTACACAAATTAGGCGTGTATAGCAAAGGTACGTGAAAGGTATGTTTTTAATTTGTTATTGTCCAACTGATCCGAAAAGGACTCAAACCATTAGAATATTCACTTTTACTGTATACAGTACTATAAGAAATTCTAAGGGGGATTGGTTTTCTTTTCCATGTTTGTAAGTAAACGTTTCTTCATTGCTCTAAATCGATTTCCAACGAACCCTCTTTCCACGAGCGCCTTGATCTCCTAACAATCCAGATTCACCCTATAAAAAAACATTTTAGCATGAATGAAAGATTATCTCACTCCTAGACCGTTTATAGGTACAGTCTCTGCTTACGCTAAGTATATTATATGCTTACTATATACTCCTATTACGATCATAGTCTAGATGATAAATCTTTACAATAATTTACTGTGTGATATTATTTTTCTAATCTATTCTAACTGACTCTGTTAACTCTCTGTGTTGTGGGAAGAAACTGAAGCAATTTAAGTACACACATAAAATTTGGCAGAGGATTTTCACGTTCAAGTTTCGTTATTTTCTCTGAGGCATCATTAATTATATGTTAAAATATCAATGGTGCATACTCACCCAGAGGCGTAGCCAGGTCTGGGGCCGGGGGGCCCGCCCCCTCCCCCCTGGCTAAAAAAATTTGGGCCCCCTCTGATATAATCCATTATTATGTAGCTTCATGCTGTCAATAATGCAAAAATTCTGTAGAATATACTTTGCTGCGCATCAGTGTGAAACCTAAAATCTTGTTCGCTTTAATATTTGCGGCACACAGCTTGAAACACATACCTTTTCTAACCCTAATTATTTCAATATGTATTAAATGAGGGTTAGATGAAGTTTAAACCAATCTGGTTTTTTTACCAGTAAATTTTTAACGCTGGCTCGGTGAAAAATCACATGTGTCGACAATTAATTTTACCCAGCACTGCACAGAATGCCTTGCGCGAACTTTGCGTCTCGAGTCACTGGCGGCTTGGCCCCACCTGGGTTTTTGCTGGCCTCCCCTGACCAAAAATCCTGGCTACGCCTCTGTACTCACCGGATCCCCAACCTCTCCATCATCTCCCATTATTCCTCTTTTACCCCGGTCACCCTACAAAATGCCAAGAATGAGAACATACAGCTGCATACAACCTAATTCCGTAATTTTTCTTAAAATAATTTCATTAATTTTATTGCTTCAGCTTACGTTATAAAAATTAAAGTTAACTTCATTGAAATTGGCAGTAGTCGCGAACGAACGGCAACTGTTATTTGAAATGCACACCAACTTACAACATTGTATATCGGATCAAAATTTAGGCTAGCCTTTCCTGAATATAACTAATCTTATACGAGTGTAATAGCTCATCTATACCACGTGTGATGCCTATTTCGATGATATCATGCAAACATCAAATGGCACTTTCCATTGAAAGACTATTCTGTAAGAAATCAGCACTGAACATACTAGTGGTCCTTTTTCTCCTTTCGTTCCTTTACTACCACCTTCACCAATCTCCCCCTAAAAAATTAAGAATATTATCATGGGCCTGATTTACATTTACGTGGATGATATGACTTAATGCATGATCTTTAGCATAAATTGTGCCATTTTTGTCAGTAAACGACTTTGCAGCACTTGCTCACCTTCTCTCCAATTAAACCATCTCTCCCAGGAGATCCAGATATACCTCGACTTCCCTGTTGTTTAAACACGATTAATGATCATGATTAATTTTGAAAAGGTATTGAAGCAGTGTACTGGGACGAGCATATGATTCTAATCTAACATGAATTAGAATATAACCTTACTTGCATTCCTGGAATTCCCACTCGTCCTGTTGGGCCCATAACGCCTTCGCCTCCCTTTCAAAAAAATGAACTTAAATTTCAGAAAATAGGGAATAAAGAACCTTTCACACACATTAGTCTGACATTGATAGAGACTGCTATCACTATTTGCCGATAGTTTAATTAAGGCCTGTTCAAACCCATCCAACGTGTTGGTTTGAACATTATGTTGTGTGATATTTGCTTGATGCTGGAAGATGTTGCTGCTGTTGCATCAGGGTTGATATTGGGTTGGTGTTGGTCTGAACGGCGCTTTATTGTCAATTCATACTATCTGTTCTTTTTGATGATCATTCAACTTTTCATGGAATACAATTTAAATTTAGAAAATACGGAACGTAACACGGATTGATGATTGATATTTGACGCTTGATACTTACACATAATCCATATTTTCCAATGCCACCAAGTTCCCCCACTCCACCTCTTGGACCCTAGAAACAGGAATGAATTTAAGGTTTATACTTTACCAGATGTTCTTAAGAACTCAGCCTCAATATTAATTCAACACGTTTCTGTTGGTTTACATTGAAAGGTATCGTTCCTATTCAACTGACGGAATTACGATGCATGTTCCTTTAGAGACATTGAACAAGCTCAATTAATTTATGTTTGGTTTAAAAAGCAATGCGCAATGTTATTGTAAACTGCCAATATCTGACAAAAAGGAGTCACATTCTATAATGCTAAAGAATGAGGCAGCAGTTATGCAGCAAGTTGGTCTTGCATCGCAATTTCCATTAATTTCGTCCGTGCCTCTATTTCTTAGGTCCCGCCCCGCCTTGCCCCGGTGGCTTATATCGGGCACATTTAGAGCAGATTTACTGGAAATGGTGCTTACTATTTTCGCAATTTACAAAGCCCTTCCTTTTTGGTGATACTAGACCCACGTGATCACGAACGTCCGGGATAATCAAGAAATAAAATCAGCACACATGTATTTTTTTTGTGAAGTGGGTGGAACGGTCTAAAAAGGCGCTTATTTGAAAGGCGTGTTTAATCAAGGATTTACGATATGCTGTAGATATAAAGTATCGGAGATTTAGTACTGCACAACATATGTCGATGTTTCTCTGTTAAGGCGAAATTACATGACCGGTTTCTACAATTAACGCTAATTTGCAACATAAATATTTCTGATTTCATGTACGGTCAAATTCATTGCGAACAAGACGCCGACTCGGCGTTAACCTCGGGTCGGTGGATAGGGGATCGTCTGGTAAATATCCAAAAATTGTGTAAATCACGATAGTTTAATAGTTCACTATATACAGCCAGAAATCTCACAGGCCTGTCGCAAGCTGTTGATTTTACCGGCTTGCGGCAAGTTGTCAACAAGTCGCGACAGGTCTGTTGGTTTCGTCGAGCGGTAACAGGCTTGCGGTAACAGGTCTGTCGCAAGCTGTTGACAACAGAGCCGTAGCGACTTGTTGAAACAACCCGCTACAAACCTGTTACTAACAAGAGATAACAGGTCTGATAGAACAATTTGCAGCAAGTCTGTTGAAATCAACAGGTCTGTTACAACCTGTTCCAACAGACCTGTCGCGAGTTGTTTTTGTCAAGTCTGCAGCAAGCTTGTTATCAGACCTGTGACAAACCTGTCCACAACAAACAATTTTTGTCCTGTCACAACAAGTTTCAACAAGCCTGTTGTAGGGAAACAAAACGAAAATGTGAGTAAAGAGATATAAAATCGCACGAAATGGACACTTCCGGCTTCACTTTCTCATTTAATCATTGTCATTGGTGGCGATATTAAATCACATAGGAGAGATTATAGTCCATAGTATCTATTCTCTGATTATTATAAAATGCAAAAGCCGCTGTTTTATTTTTTTTAAAAAAGTTCCGATTTCCAAAATCCAAATTCCAATTTGCTGACGTGTGCTATCGCTATATTTCTTTAATCTTATTGGATAAACGCGTGTGCACACGTCATCATTCCTCGTTGCAATTGGGCGAAATATTACAAACATATCAATCACGTAATCACAGAATAGGAAGTTATACCAGAAGCGTAACTCTAGTCGTTTCCCTTATTGTTTGACGTCCACGAAAATTTTAACTCGCTCACGTCAGGCCACGCCATCCTGGCTAGTACAGCCGGAAGTTTTTATCAGGATTTGGTAGGTACAAAGTGCCGGTTGTACTAGCCAGGATGGCGTGATTGATGACGAATCGCTTGTAAAAACGTGGACAAATATTTGCTCGAGTTACGCTTCTGGTATAACTTCCTATTCTGTGACGTAATCATGTTTAGTAGTGATGGGCGATACCACCAGTATCGGTTTCGATACGATACCGATTACTTTTTGGTTAAAGTATCGAGGTATCGATTACCCAAACGATTACTTCCTCCAATTTTCAAAATAATTAATGTAAGTCACTTTAATAAAGAGCCGACTGTCATTTTAACCATAAAAAAAACAAAAATTACTTTATTTCCCGCTTTTTTCATAATTTATTCTGTCGGCGAGGATACGGAATGTCAAATAAAGTATAAAGGGAGACAGGAAGTTTGATTAAATTGATAAATGCAGCAAAATACAAAAAAGTACATAAATTTTATTAGAAATAACCATGAAAACGATGACACAACTACAGGATTATAATGAATGTCTAATTTTAAAAGTAATCGAAACACTTTTTCGATACCGTGCAGTATCGACTACTTCCTGTTTGGGCCTGGTATCGGGTGGTATCGATACCAAGTAATCGGTAATCGCCCATCACTATCGATCACACGGGTAATCTCGCAGTGCTCGGAAGACGCACTGTGATTGGCTGTTAGGTGAAAGGGTTTTCCCTACACGATTTTCGTTTCTCAAATGCGGAAGTGATTCCAACCGTAATCCTGCCAAAATAGCCGTGACGGTTCCAGTGGGTGCATTGGTTGCAATGGTTGCAGTGGTTGCAGTAGGTGCATTGGGCGCAGTGGGCGCAGTGGGCGCAGTGGGTGCATTGCTTGCAATGGTTGCAGTGGTTGCAGTAGGTGCATTGGGCGCAGTGGGTGCATTGGGCGCAGTGGGTGCAATGCTTGCAATGGTTGCAATAGGTGCAGTGGGCGCAGTAGGTGCATTGGGCGCAATGGGTGCAGTGCTTGCAATGGGTGCAGTGGTGCAGTAGGTCCATTGGGCGCAGTGGGTGCATTGCTTGCAATGGTTGCAATGGTTGCAGTAGGTGCATTGGGCGCATTGGGCGCAGTGGGTGCATTGCTTGCAATGGTTGCATTGGTTGCAGTAGGTGCATTGGGCGCAGTGGGTGCATTGGGCGCAGTGGGTGCATTGCGTGCATTGCTTGCAATGGTTGCAGTGGTTGCAGTAGGTGCATTGGGCGCAGTGGGTGCATTGGTTGCAATGGTTGCAGTGGTTGCAATGGGTGCAGTGGTTGCAGTAGGTCCATTGGGCGCAGTGGGTGCATTGGGCGCATTAGGCGCAGTGGGTGCAATGGTTGCAATGGTTGCAGTGGTTGCAGTAGGTGCATTGGGCGCAGTGGGTGCATTGCTTGCAATGGTTGCAGTAGGTGCATTGGGTGCAATTACATGTCCTACATGGGTTAAATTAACTATGGATTATTAATTTTTTTAGAAAATATGTATGACCACCAAATTGTGAAGAACAGTCCACAATATGGGCAGGAAAATATATCTACAACTAATTTCAGCTATTATTTCTAATGCAAATTGCTTCAGACCCAATCAAATGTTGTATAACCTTATTTGCATTGCGACTTTGCAAGTTGTTGCTAAAAATTGACCCGTGATGGATCTACATGAATCACAGTTAGTCAAAGTAACTGTAAATTCAGGGCCGTACACAACGGTGGAGGGGGGGGGGAGGCAAGGGGGGCAACTGCCCCCCCCCCGAGAAAACTATATTTACGATTTTTAAAGTGTCATTCATTATTCTTTGGATATTTGGGACTTTTTTGGCATATAGCCCTTACTGTCCCCCCCCCTGGTGAAGAAATCCTGCGTACGGCCCTGTGAAACAAACATTATACTGTATTAATTGTTCCAAGTTATATCTTATAGAACCGGTAGTCTTATATTGCATGAAACGTTTGTAAATAGTTTTTGGCTTTTATAAATATTTTGTAATTTTAATATTTTGAGCAATACTGATTCATTGCTGGCTCCCTGCATTGTTCATTGGCGTCCATTTCATAAACGAAATCGTACTCGGAATAACAATAATCTCATTAAAACTATCCCAATAAGAATCTGCATAACACAGGTGTTAACGCCCTGTCACAAAATAATCCATCTCATGTTCCCAAGGTGATGGTGACTAATGTGAGGTCCTTAGTTCCAAAACTAGACGAAGTACAAGAATTCCTAATTCGGAATGACATTAATTTTGCGTTTATTACCGAGACATGGTTAAAAGAGTCAATTGCAGAAAGCATAATTAACATTCCTGGTTACACTGTATTTCGCAGAGATAGGAAAAATGATGATCATTGTGGTGTATGTGCTTATATTCGAACTGAAAAATGTAATTACAGACAAATGGACGAATTAAATTGCTGTGAGAATCACGAGATCTTGTGGCTTTACTTACGACCTGACCGCTTACCTCGGGGTTTCTCATGTATAATTGCAGGATTGGTGTACCACCCACCCAGCGATAATGCAAGTTCGATCTGTGACCATCTGTTCAACTCACTCACAATGGCCGAATCCAAATACCCCAACTGTGGTATATTAGTTACTGGTGATTTTAACCGCCTAAATATTAATCGTTTATTAAATCACTTTCGCCTTAAGCAAATAGTAAAAGTACACACGAGGAAAGATGCTATTTTAGACCTCATGTTAACGAATATGCATATGTACTTTTGTGCACCGAAAGCATATGCACCTTTCGGTCTGTCTGACCATAACACTATGGTCGCAGAGCCTAATGTCATAGCGCCAAAAGGCAACAATAAGAAAGTAATAATAAGACGGGACTATCGCGCAAGTCGTAAAGCTGAAATGGGAAGATATTTGAGCCTCTTTGATTGGTCACAGTTGTTTGCTCCCTTGGATAGTAGTGAGGAAAAGTGGTTGGTTTTGCATGAAGTAATACACAATGGGCTTAACTTATTAATGCCGGAAAAACGTATGGAGGTCAGCACTGTTGATGCACCACATGAATAAGAAATTAAAGGCCCTGATTGCCAAAAGACAAAAGGCGTTTAATAGGAATGGAAATGGTTCCCTTGATTTTAAATACTACAGGAATTTAGTCAACCGTGAAAGAAAGGCATGCAGAGGGAAGTATTATGAATCAAACATACAAAATCTTAAGGGTGAGAACCCTAAGAGATGGTGGAGTGAAGCGAAACGTTTAAGTGGTATGAAAGGAAAGAATAGCGATCTGTCCAGTCAAATAAAAATCGACGAGTTCTCTAACTTTCCACAACGTGAACAGGCAAATATCATTAATACAGCTTTCTTGGAGCCCATTGAGGAGTACAGATTGGTCGTTCCAGCACCATGCCGCGACTTGGAAGAATCAACGGAGGTCCTAACTGTGACAGAAATGCGCGTAGAGAAGGCCCTAGCAAAACTCAACCCTGGAAAAGCGTCTGGTCCTGATAACATTCCAAATTGGCTCTTAAGAGATTATTCCAGAATTGTTGCTCTCCCAATTATGAATATTATTAATACTTCATATCGTGAACAGCAATTGCCTGCATGCTGGAAGATGGCAGATGTATCACCACTGCCCAAGAAGAAGCCGGTTAAGGACCTAAAGAAAGATTTAAGACCAATCTCGTTAACCCCTAGCGTATCCAAGGTTGCGGAGGGGTTTGTGGTTGAGGATTACGTGAAACCTGCCATTTTAAAAGTTATCGTCCCAAACCAGTACGGAACAATCCCGAATTCATCTACTACTATCGCGCTAATTAATATGTTACATTACTGGTTTTTAGGAACAGATGGAAATGGCTCAACCATTAGGACAATTCTGTTTGACTATCGTAAAGCATTCGACTTAATCGACCACGGTATACTGATTGATAAACTAAGCAGATTGGAATTACCTCCAAGGGTTATAAACTGGATAATTGATTTTCTCACCGATAGATTTCAAAGAGTTAAATTAGCTGATGATTGTTTTTCGGAGTGGGGATCAGTCCCTGCAGGCGTACCACAGGGAACTAAGCTAGGCCCCTGGCTGTTTGCTCTTATGATAAATGATTTAATCATTGATGATGCACATACCTGGAAATACGTAGACGATACGACAGCGTCCGAAATTGTCAGTAAGGGGGGTACTAGTGATGCCCAAAATATAGTTGATCAAGTGGTTACGTGGTCTAGTAATAATAGAAGACAATTAAATCAAGACAAGTGTAAGGAATTGAGAATATCGTTCGCGAATCAACCAGCAATCTTTGATCCATTAACCATTAATGGGAAAAAATTGGAGTTGTTAAAACAGTAAAGCTGCTAGGACTCACTGTCAAGGACAACCTTACTTGGAATTCTTATGTGGACGAGGTTATAAAGAAAGTGAATAAAAGATTGTACTTTTTAGTGCAATTAAAACGGGCGAGAGTTCCACCACAAGATTTAGCGCTGTTCTATACGTCGTGTGTCAGGTCAGTTGTGGATTACGCGATTCCTGCCTTTTACCATTGTCTCCCCCAATATCTGAAGCGTGAGTTAGTGCGTCTCGAGAAAAGAGCTATATCAATTATTATGCCGGAAGTTGACTATCTAACAGGTTTGGAACGATTAGATATTAACAGGGGCGGAGCGAAGACTATCCTTTTCGGAGGGTGCAAGATAACTTTTTGCTGACAAAAGGGCGTGGCTAGCACGTTGTTAGGGCGTGGGTTTTAAGTGATGTATAACGATGAAATCCGAG